AAAAAAATCACGTCGTAAATGAAGACTTCCCCCAAACAGTGTCAACGCAAGGAAGGTTGTGATACTTTCACGTGATCAATTTGCTCCTCAAGCACGACCATTATTCATTCTATTTCCCTGTTGCAGGAATTCGACCCTATCCCTTCCTTGGAGGGACGTGGGAACACAAATCTCCCATAGATTCATATATATTCAAAAAGCGAATTCCGAGAGTTCGCTCTTATCTGGGCACCTCGTCAGGCTCATAACGGCTGCCTTTGTCGTTCTCGAAAAGCTGCTGATCCCCCTTTCCACCCATCTCCATGAAAACTTCCGCTGGCTGATGCGCCGCCGGAAGCTCCTCATGTTTCCGCTCTGTATGGCCATTCGCAATCACGGTGGCAGGATTGTGGACCCTTTTCCCCTCGATATTTTTTTCAAAGACCTTGACTGGGGCTTTGTTATCCTCCCACTCGACTACCTTGCTGACCTTGACATCGTTGAGATCGCTGAGTAAAGTCCGCTCCCGCGCGTACTTGCGTTTCGAAAAGTCAAGCTGGTCCATAGCACCTGTTAGACCGTCGGTGCTGTCAGCAGGATTGATCGTTTTCTGCGTCGTCCATGGATGTTCGAGGCATTCGTCTATTGTGATGCGTTGGTCTACGTCGACTGTAAGCATACGATCGATGAGGTCGAGCGCTGGATCCTCAACAGAGTCCCAGTACGGTGAAGGATAGTCGAAACGGCCCATTTTGATCTGCTGTGATAGAGTAAAGGGGTGCTCTTCCGACCAGAGCTCGTCTGAAAATGGTGGGAAGCCACAAAGACAGATGTAGAGAACCACCCCTAACGACCATACGTCGACTGCTCTAGTGTATTTGCGATGCCTTGAGTTCTCCAGTATTTCAGGTGCAACGTAGCTGGGCGTGCCGCATCTACGACAACCATGAGTCTTCTCGGCCGGATTAGTGGAATGCAAACAAACTTACAGCGTTGTAGTGAACGACTCTTCGCCGATGATCTTAGCTAGACCGAAGTCGGCAAGCTTCACTGACAGCTCCTTGTCTGCCAGCAAGATATTCTCTGGCTTGATATCTCGGTGTACAATGTTGCGTTCATGCTAAGGGAGGTCAATACCATCACCCAGATAGAGAGGAGAGGAACGTACGAGGTATTTGACACCCTGAAACAACTGTATAAATACTCTTCGACTTTCTTCTTCCGTCAACTTTTGCTTCATGACAATACAGTTGAACAATTCTCCTTCGGGTGCAAGCTCAAGCACCAGATAAACGCCGTCGTCTTCGTCGAAAGTGTCCTTTAAACATAGCATATTTGGATGGCTGACAGACTTCAATACACCTATTTCTTGCTGCAACCCATCCGTCTGCGATCTCCCGCTGTCCCCGTATCTCTTTTCAAATCTTTTCACTGCATACTGCATGCCTGTGATCCGCTCAATGCATAGGTATACGGTAGCGAAGTGGCCTTTGCCTAACTGCTGCAAAATTTTATATTGCTGACGAAAGGCACTAGCATCTCTGTTTCGCGGGTAGTAGAACATGCATCTTGCTTGATCCAGGATAGAGATCTCGTCCGCATTCTCTAGCTCTCGGCGCTTGTTCCTTCCAACGATGGCCTCATTCACAAAGGTTCCGTTGCTCGAAAGGTCTTCTATGAAGGCCACACCTTTGCCGTTTTTGCTTTCATTGAAGACAATGCAATGGCGATTTGAGATTGTAGGAAGCTCCAGCTTGCGATCTAATGCCCTTTAGTTCTCAGAGTCCTCATCACTAGTCTGCGGATTTTGCATACCGCATTCTGGATGTCTCCCAATGAGATAACCACCCCCGGGAAATCCTTTCAAGCGTTTCTCAGCTTCGTATTGCTTCTCTTCATCAACGTAGTTGAGGGTTTCCGTTCGAGTCTTACCGCGAACCTTGGTACCTTTGCCGAAATGCGCATTCGGGTATGGTGCTGGACATGCTGCCCTTGCCCTGCAAATCAAGGTATCACCAAAGACAGGGTCCACGGGTACCAAATAACCCCAGACGCCTTCGGCTTCTTCATCCTCCACTTCAAACGAGCGCCCTCGGGGAGGGATGAGAAATTGCGAGAAAGCTTGCGTATCTGACGGAGGAGAGGATAATCCTTGCGTGTTTTGAGCAGGAGATGAGGCCGGAGGGGTTCGATGCCGGATCTGACTGGGGCGGCCTTCTGGTGGCGATGCTGTGACGTCCTTGTAGTCCTCTGATCTTGTACTCTCTTGATGCGTCAGGGGCGACGGGAGGTAGGATTTTACTTTGTCTTTGAGAGGAGTCGTCTGCGTCTGCGATGATATACGCTCGGAGCGACGCGGCTTCTTGGTATCGTACTCTTCGCCAGTAGAATTCTTCATCACGGCGAATGGTAAGCTAACGCTCGATAGGTAGTGCACTGCCACTTACCCTCCCACGCTTTAAGGAGCTTTTCTCAGAGGCTTTGAGAACCATTTTGGCTACTTATATGCCAATTGAGAGAGAGCACCTTCGCTGGAGCAAACGGGAAGACGGACGCGATGGCAGAGAAAGCTTATAACAATGAGCGAATAGCGTTGCTAGACTTCGTAGGGAATTGATAATTCTGCATCTGATCTCAAAGCATTGTTATCATTGTCACTGTGAGTTCCCTTCTCCTTGGGTTGACCGTCGAGACTATTGGCAAAATTGTAGAATTTTGTGGTCGGATATTTATCCTTCGAGCAGCAGACAATTGACGTCACCTATTCGCCGTACGACCTTTGTGGTATGAATGAAGTACTCGAGTACGTGAGTACTCTTAGAAATGTCAGAGAACGATTCGAGGCTGGAGCTTCCATATAATTGCGGCACCCGTTGCCGAGCCTCAACGGACTAAGTCTACGCACTGCACCCGGGCTGGTATATTATATTGAGCGTGTCATAGCAAAGGCGAACCTCAGCTAAAAGGACTCCTTGTCGCGCCGACGCCATCGCCAAATGATTATATACAGATTACTCTACAACGACCAGCTCATGCTTTTTCCCGCTTTTCTCTTCGTTCCCATTGCACTACCGCAGGGTTCAAAGGTCGCGAGAACAGCGACGAGTAGTCCGTCCCCACAACTCCTTCCTTGCCCTCCAAATTCTTCAATCGGAACGCCCGCACCATCGTCGCCGTGATAGCGCCTAATTGGACGTATGCAAACGCTTCACCAATACACCGATGTCTTCCAGCTCCAAACGGCAGATACGGACTGTTGGCACCCTTGGTGACGAGTCCATACCCGTAATCGATTTTCTCGTCATCGTCAGCATCTTTGTTCGAACCATGAAGGGCAGACCCCTCGTCCCAGCGGTGTGGTTCCCACAGATCGGGTTGGGGAAAGTGATCCTCTGTTTTTGATGTTACGCCTGGTGCAGCGAGGAGTACGCGAGACGTTGGTATTGTATATCGCGTCCCTTCTACTGACATGGGCGCAATAACCTTTCGCATAATAGAGTGGATGGGCGCATGTATGCGCAGGGTTTCTTTGACTACTTGGGAATTGAGAGTGAGACACTGCAGGGAATCGTAATTGAGTGGCGGCATATCTGGGCCGAGGACTGATATTTGCTCTTGGTACAATTCTTCGAGAATATCAGGACGGGCAGCAAGGCGGAGGAGAATCCATGCCGAAGTGCTGGACGAGGAATGCTGGCCTGCCATCAGAAGCGCAATCATCATGTGAGCGACTTCTAAGTCGGGGACCGGGGTGCCGTTTTTGTAGACAGAGGACATTAGGTTCCATATCATGTCATCGGCATCACGCTGCGAACCGGCTTCGCGCCTTGCCTCGATGATTTCCAGATATGTCTGGGCCATCTTCTTCTGCGCGTAGTCGCGTTTCCGATTATGGGGCAGGGGTGCCCATGGTAGCATAAAATTGATGGGAGAGAAGCCCATGTCAAGATCGTGGTAGAGGTCCGCAAAGCTTGAGTCGAATTTCGAGCGGACTTCTTTGCCCTGGAGAGAGCGAGAGGCAGTATATATTGTTACCTCGGCCATAGTGCCGGGAACGTTGAAAGTGCCCCTGGATCCTTGGAACGTGGCAGAGCGGGCGACGAAATTTTGGACCTCCTCAACGATCAGGGGCACGTAGGATCTGAGGGCGTCGGAGGTGAGTCCAAATTTGACGAACTAATCTGATCGTCAGATATGGACTTGCATTTCCTTACTATTCCACACACCTTTTTTTGCTCCATCAGCTTCGCATTTGGACAGTCATATACAACCTCTTTTCCAAAGACCGGCGTGGTGAGCGGACTGTATACCTCCTCTGCATTGACATCTTTGAGCTTTCCGTTGAGAATAAAATCGTTTCCCTTCACCCCCAAACAGACTGTCGTCTTCTTCCCAAGAAGAACGAATGTGAAGATGTCACCATACTGGAGATGTGATCAGCATGGCTTCGCTGTCTTGGCGCACGCGGCACTCAGCTACCTTCTCCCGACAGCTAAAGAAGAATCTGTAGGGATCAATTCCATAGGTGACGGTACTGCCAATGAATGGCACCCAATGAAACACAAGTGGAGGCTCATTGGGATTTTTGAGAAGTAGTTGGGCAAGCACGTTAAAAACGACGGCAACAACAACCAACGAGAAGAGGCCTCCAGCGATAACCATGCCAGTGGAATTATTAGATAAGAGATGACGCAAAGGCTCGGAGACAGCCGCAAGAACACCCATGGCCGGAAATGACAGACAGCGGTCTTGCACTTTTAGGACAATTGAGTTGTAGAGACAAGAAAACAGAGACTCGTACTCGAAATTTATTTCTTGGCATTCTAGCGTTATGTCGGAGTTTAAATAGCCGATACAGGCACATCAGACCACGACATTGTTCTTATTAGTAGACGCGCAAGCAGCATCAGCCTGAGCCAAATACTCGGATGACAGGCAAAACTCTTTTCTCAATAGTCACCTTCGGTTCTCCCAAGCTCTTTTACTTGCCATGACCGAAAGCAACAAAGTCTGTGACCATCATGTCGAACATGGAAACGCCAGAGGCCAGAGAGCTAAGCCTGGTTGGCAAAGTCGAGATGCGTATAGCTCTCGCAAATGATGCCTCTCTGGGCAAGACGTTGAATATTTATCTCGCTCCATTATTGCTCAAGCTTGCCTCGGAGTTTGTGAGTGTGCGAAACAAAGTAAGTATGCAATACCATCCTGCAGGCTAGTTGTCCAAAAACATGGCAGTCATCCAAGTGTCGGCATCATCTGAATAAATTCTGCAAATTGTTGGGTGTCAAGCCGAATCGAAAGACGATTGATATACATAGTCAACTCAAGCAAATCGCTTCTACCGCGAAACCCTTTCCTTTCCGTGTTGTTGTAGTCGAGACTCAAGGGATTCGGATACTTACAAGTGCCACTTTTCCTGGCAGCGACTCTGCCTGCAATGCTTTCCTTCAGCCGCAAGTGTGGTCGAGCTAATTTTCGTCTGTGATTTTAGGTCATATCCGTCTGTCAGCACATCAATACTAGAATCAAACCACCGTCGATAAAGCTTCCTGTAGCTACGCTTCTCAGGCAGTATAAAGACAATCATAACGCTTTGGTCCGCCACTTCGATCTCTTATACATCCAACAAGGCATTGATAGACTAGCTATTTCTGTGAGTCTCTTCAATCCACACTACGTCCTGCTCCTAAGACAGTGGCTTTCGGTTGTAACGACCACTTGTTCCCGCTACCATGCTCATCAGAAAACTCGTCTAGGAACGTCTTGATCTTCTTCCGACTCTTCTACATGGCTTGCGATCTAATGCCGAGGAGTCTGCCACACATGCAGCTTCCCTGTTTAACCTTTTGCTCAAACTTCTTCACAGCATGACGCTTCCTGCACGCGGGAGTAAGGAAGATGTCGATCTAAGGGAGGGCCTTGGATTAAGCGACAAAGCCGACGATGCAGTCTTTGTCGCTACGTGGCTAGGGAAGCTCATGTTGTTTGGCATTGGCCAAGCTGGTACTACTCGCTGTCCAGGTTTAAACACGGAGGACTGTAGATTCCTACAGCTCTACGGCAAGAAAGAAACGTGGACACCAAACGCAATGGGTGGATTGAACCTCGTGGAGACCAAAGTCGTGTCTGCTAAGTTCCTCGCCAGTGGGGCTTTTGTTGATACTGAACGCTTTCTACCGGCATTGTTTGCTTCAGCTGACCCCAACTCGCGTCTCTCCGACATTGGAGATGATATCCTGAAACGAGCAAACTCTGCTGTCTCTTTCGAAGATCCGATCTTAGTGCAGCAGCTATATGAAATTTACTTAGGTACAAGGGGTGCAGAAGGATCTCTTCCAGCTCGAGTTCCTCTGCAGACGAAGATTCTCACACTTCTGTGCAAGTCCAAGCTCGCTTCTTCTTTCGTTCCGCAGAGCATCCAGATTGTTCAGGAAGGGCTTGCAGCCCCCAAAAGTGCCCAGCAGGACACTAGCATCTCGGCACCAAAACAAGGCCTCGAAGCCTCGAAGCTTAGGTACGTCGTTTCGGAGTCGTTGCTTCCTGTTCGGATTTTTGATCTGCACATGAGGCATGTGTTGGAGAGGGAAATAAGGCTTCATCCTCCCCTCCCGCCCGGGGCTTTTCATTTTCATCCCACGACTCGATTCTGTGTCACGAAAGGGGCTTCTTCTCCCAATTCGACTCTTTAGACTTGTTTTCACGATCAGATTGTGTATCACTAGATGGCTTCTTACCCATTTTTACTCCCCAGGTTTGTCTTCGGAGTTGACTTTACGTCTTGAAAAGGGCATACTAATTCCGAAACCATCATCAGAGGCCAGATCTTCGCTTTTACAAATTGGCTTGCACGAATTAGCTCGCCGGCCGATCTCAACGCGTTTGCACCGGGTTTGGTGAATCAGCTCCGGACATATATCGAGAATCAAGGCTGGCCACGGTATGACACCGAAAAAGCCATGCCAAGCGCAGGAGAATTGACCTCACGCGCTTTCGGATATGAAAGCATCGGACTCCTCGCCGGGGCCTGCCCAGACAAGCTTCTGCTAGAACCCGAACTCGATCTTCTTCAATGGCTTTTCATGTCTCTTAGTGAAGATCCATCAGGCAAAGACGTATCTATTAGTATTGAGCAAGCTCTGAGTAGTGTGCTTAGAGGGTTTGATGCCGACCTAAGCCCCGATCTTGAGTCATCACTGACCTCTTTGTTGTTGCATTATATGGGTTTACATCCCCTCGATCCTAGCGACGCCGAAGGTTCAAACACTAACATTGTCCGAAGCACTCGTTATGTTGCTGTTCGGTTTGCCAACCGTTGCCTTCCATATAGGAGTGCAACTGCTCGATGGATTGACATCCTCGCTGTTGACGGCGGCGTCAATGAGCGGAGTGAGGTCCTCGAGGAAGGGAGGAAGGGTCTGGATCCTTACTGGTATAGAATGTTGAATCCAACCAACGATGATGATTTCCCAAGCGAACGATCTCTCCAAGCCCGGAAATACGATCCTCCTGGCTTTCCAGAATTGATGGAGAGGATTTTCGGTGCTGGATCAGTCTGGGATGTCACCAACAACAGCAGCAGCCTTGATCTGGCCAACGCTTACTTACCTGCTCTCACGTTCTGTCGCTGTATTTTACTGCATCAAGCTTTGACAGCTACGAAAAGATCTCCAATTATAGATAGCGACTGGGAGCGAAACATAGACGCTCTAATAGCAAACGATGAAGACGCTCGGAATAGTCTCAAGGAATACTTTCGCAAGTACTCGAAATTCTCAAGCGAAAATCAAGCAGCTCCCAGGGCACTCAAAACGTATCTGCAGGCATCATACACTGGTATGATTTGTTCAAAAGGTGAAGATGCCAATAGAGGTGGAAACTTCCTCCTGGAACTTTGTCCTCTCCTTCCCTGTGCGGCCTACATCTATCTCTCGGCAAACATCATGAGTCTACAGGGACCTATATTTTCCACCAGGAAGACATTGCGTGAAACAGCTTCGCATGTTTTCGGTCTGTTGGCAAGGTATGTAATTTAGATTGGTTCTTTCCTATTTGGGCCTTTGGTCTGGGTCATAAGTCAAGTTTTGTCAGCTGGAACAGGATTTCTCCCTCAATTATACTTTCTGAGACTGTTCTTACGATTCGATTGAGAGTCATGAGATGGGTTTCCTTTCCTTGTTCTGCCCCCAAAATTTATCTGACAGTTCGACCTTCTGTCAGGCAATGCGCGTCTTTCTCTTGTTGTGCTCCCTGCATTCGTCCCAGGAGTGGGCTTTACCTCTTGAGAATGCAATGCTGACACTGGAATCATCGTCAGTCTCGAAGAATGTTCGAAAAACGAAACCCAGAAGATGTTGAAGGTCTTTGACCAAAAGGTCCGGTCGTGGCGTCAAGCCATTGGGAACGAGGCCCTTCAAGTACACGGCTCGATCCTTACCACAGCATACTTCCTGAGTAGGTCAGTCTCCCGCCACAATACTCCTTCAGACTTCGAGGAGAAGCGGTCGGCCTTCATTGCCAATATCCTGGAAGTTCTTAATGATAGCCGTGATAAAATGCTTTTGGATGCAGTTTTCATTGCTGTTTCGGAACTCGCTCTCTTTGGCGCGCTGACCCCCGAGTCCCTTCCGGAGCCATACAATGTTCGCGACTTGGTTCAAAAATCCATTGAAAAAGCCAAAGAGGGAGACGAAAAGGCTATAACGGCCTTGGGCCATCTTGCACTGCAATGTAGGGAAGAGTCAGACGATGACGCGATACTGTCTCACATCATCGAACAGCTCTACGACTTGCATAGTGTTAGACAACCTGAAGTGCAATTCGCTGTTGGCGCTGCACTGTGCTGCGCTGCAATAGGATGGCAGTCGAAATCGTTGGTTTCAGCCTTGGATATCCAGGGCCCTGTTCCCATGTCGCCAGCTCGAGCAAAGACTTCTGCATCAGTTCTCGACGACGTGCTTTTAAAGTGCAAAGCCAGCAAGCCAGCCTTGCGACAAGCTTCGGTGATTTGGCTCCTATGCTTGGTACAGTACTGCGCGCACATGCAGGAAATCCAGGGTCGATTACGGGAGTGTCAGGTGGCCTTTAAAGGCTTCCTTGCCGATCGCGACTCGTTGAATCAAGAGTCTGCTTCGCGAGGTCTAGCTCTCGTGTACGACAAAGGGGATAAATCTCTAAAGGATGATTTGATACGAGACCTCGTCTCCTCATTTACTGGAAACGCTGGCCTTGCAGGGAAAGGAAATGTATCCGAAGACACCGAGTTGTTTGACTCTGGAGCTCTTCCAACGGGCGAAGGTTCGGTAACAACATATAAAGATATCATGAGTCTTGCTGCTGAGGTCCAGGATCCCAGTCTGGTGTACAGATTCATGTCACTTGCGTCAAACAATGCCATATGGTCCGAAAGGGCTGCCTTTGGAAAGTTTGGGCTCACTAATATATTGAGTGATGCCTCTACGGATGGCTATCTAACACAAAATCCAAAGATTTATCCAGCCCTTTTTCGATATAGATTTGATCCTAACACAAACGTTCGAAACTCGATGAACGACATCTGGGCTGCCATTGTGAAAAAACCAGCAAAGACAATCGACCTGCACTTTGACAGCATCATGAATGACCTTCTCAAAAATATCCTTGGCAAGGAATGGCGTGTCCGTCAGGCCAGCTGCGCCGCTATTGCTGACCTCATTCAGGGGCGGCCGTTTGGAAAGTACGAGAAGTATCTGACACAGACCTGGGAGCTTACTTTCAAAGTCTGCGATGACATCAAAGAGTCTGTCCGTGGTGCCGCAATGTCCCTAGCACGAGTCTTGACCGGCGTGTTGACACGTGGGCTCGAAGCCGGCGAGTCGTCTGCTTCGAGTGCGGAGAAGATGCTGAAACAGGTGCTACCATTCCTGCTAAGCCCGTCCGGCCTGGAATCAGGTGCTCCCGAAGTACAAGACTTTGCCAGGAAAACGTTGCTGAAGATCATAAAGAGCAGTAACGGAAAGACGTTGCGCCCTTTTGTCCCAGATCTCGTGGGCCGCTTACTCGCACTTTTAAGTTCCATCGAGCCCGAAATGATCAATTATGTCCATCTCAACGCTGAACAATACGGTCTAACAGCGCAGGAGCTCGACGACGCCCGCCTAAAAAACATTCAAGGATCTTCGATGCTTGAGGCTATTGAGCGATGTCTCGATTTCCTAGATGGGGATTCGATGCCAGAGCTACAGCAAAGTCTTGAGAATGCCATCAAGACCGTGGTCGGCCTTCCTTCTAAGGTTGGTTGCAGCCGTGTGCTCGTCACTCTTTCCACACGACAGAACTTCATCTTCAAGCCTCATGCAGATCACTTTCTTTCTCTTGCTCTGAAACAAGTGTTTGACCGAAATGACACAATTTCGTCATCGTATGCCGCAGCATGTGGCTATCTTACAAGACTGTGTTCTAATGAGGCCATCTTGAATCTTGTGGACTCTGCCCGGAAATTGTATTTCGGTTCGGATGAAGATCGGCACCGAGTGATCTCCGGAGACTTAATCTATGCGATGTCAAAGCATGCCACTGACCGATTCAATTCCCTTGCTGGGGACATTTTGCCATTCGTGTTCGTTGCAAAGCATGATACTTCCGACCGAGCGAAGACACTCTTCGAGGACACGTGGAGCGAGAACGTTGGGGGATCCCGAGCAGTCTTGCTGTACCTGAAAGAAATTGTCGGCCTGGCATCACAACATTTGAACTCCGCTCGTTGGTCTATCAAACATACCTCGGCATTTGCTGTTGCAGATGTTGTTACTTCGTCTGGTAGTGCCATTACCGATGCCAATGCTAGGATGGTATGGCCAGCTCTCGAAAAGGCGTTGTCAGGCAAGACGTGGGAAGGAAAGGAGATCATCATGAAGGCCTTAATCCACCTCGCAAGGAACAGCACCTTTTGGTCGACGGACCAGGGGGTGGGAGAGCAGTTTGAAAAGATTGTACTGCGGGAAAGCAAGAGGAACAACCCTGTCTTCCGTCAACATGCAGTAGAATGCCTAGGAGATTTCGTCGAAGTGCGCGAGACGGTTGATATGTTCCCACAAGTCTTGGGAGTGACGAAGCCAATCATCGAAGAGATGTTGAGCGACTCAGACGAGATGGACATTGATTCAAAGTCAGGAGGGCCGTCTTCCAAAACTGTCATGGAGCTGACGCTGGCTAACGCATCGACTGCCTTACTGAAATCCGTCAATCCTCGGGAAAGGAGTGAAGGGGACCTAGTCTCAAGCCTTACTGAGACTTTCCGGCTTGTGAGTCGAGTCAGGACTGGAATGGCAAGCAGACTCACGCTCAATGCGATTTATGACGGACAGAAGGAGTTGTTCGAAAGACTCAATAAGGTACAACATGGGGCATTGTCTGGGCCACTCGAGACCATCCTGGTGGAATACGTGAAGCAACTTTTCGGCTCGAGCGAACAAGTTGAACAGACGCGTCTCAAGGCGTCCGAGGCAGCCATAGCAGTGGCGCCCATAGTTCACAAAGGAACACGTATCAAAGCAGCGTTGACTGAGGATTTAGCCACGGCACGGGCACAGGAGCGCTCTGTGTCCGTTCAGCAAAATCTCGATCGAGCAAGGAAGATAGTGGATGGATGAATTTCCCTTTTACAGCTGTGCCTGGTAGGCTTCTGCAAGCTCAACGGCTTCGGACAAATCCTCCTGGATGTGGGCCTTTACCTACCTTAAGCTTAAAGTATGTTACAGTCTCGCCAAGGCACTAGCACTAGCACTGGCGTGTCTGGCATCGCCGCTAGCTACTCACCCGGGTAGCAAAAAAGCCCGCACACCCTAACCCGCAAGTGGCTAGGAGAAGCGAGGCCATCCCGCAAACATTTCACACACAAATTTAGTAGTCTTCTCTCATTATCAAGCACAATGTCGTCGCCCGAAAGGCTTCAGGCTGTAATAGACGGTAACGGTCAAATGACTGGCTAGTAGATAGAGAATCATTCAATAATGTAGGTAATTCTGCTGGGGGGAAGGCAGTAGTCTCCATTTGGTTAGGGTGTGCGGGCTTTTTTGCTACCCGGGTGCTACTCGACTTTATCTATCAATCAATGACTCGATGCAATAATTCTACCCAGAGCTAATGATGCTGAGCCTTGGTCCCGACAAACGAAACGCGACATGTCGTCTCCAAATCTGATGCTCGTGTAAAGTCCCGTACAACTACGGCAGTGGGTAAAGAGGATTGATTGCCTTTGCAGCGGAGATGTTCGGGCTACCTATTGAGAGTGCGGGGGTCCATGTGGCAAACTGGATTAATACTATTCTGATCATGTAATGCTGGATTTCCCCAGCTGGAGAGGTGGAAAACGCCTTGTTGAGTTTGGTGGCTGGTGGTGGGGTCAGGTATCGTCTAATATAGTCTAGTCTAGATTTAGGATTAAGCTTAAAGCGGGAAGAAAGGATGAGATTGCAGGGACCGATCGGGAGACCGGTTTTCTGGGAGTCCTCAAAGCGCTAAGCCAAGTACCTAAAGTGCTCTCGTAGAAGGCTAAAAGCGTGGCCAACTTGAGCGTTTGCAATGGCTTGTTTATTTGTTGATCGTTGAAACAACTTACAAGTAAGAAGTGATCCAACATAATTTGTCGTCAATTTATGACCAAGTTTCAGAAGAAGATTGCTTCATATGTCTTTTTGCACGCCATTCCACCATCCTCCTTCCAGCGCCATGCTCATTTCCATGCCGAAAGCGTTTCGACTATCCGAGGCATATGACGAGTGATTGACATTGGAATAGACAATTGAAATGATGGTGAATCTGCCAAGACCAAGATGTGGAAATTTGGAGCGATGCCAGGGAAGTGAAACGATTGGCTGTGCCGCTCTTTAGTGTGGAGTTTAGCTTACTGGTAGCTTAAGCACCTATTGGCCACAGGATTACGGTAACTATATTGACCACGTCCACAATACTACCTTACTCACCACTACTTGTACCCTTACTTTACTGACCGTGCTCTTTTTCCCTCGTGGAGTTGTGGCTAGGTTAAAAATGAATTCCGAAAGCCATGCTCGAAAGCCACGAACCTGGACCGTGCCAAAACCCTACTTACTAGACGCCTTTGAAAAGACTGACTATGTTTCATCATTATTCTCATTATCATTATCATTATTTAACATTTATCCCTTCTAGTTCATACTGTCAAATAAAAAATATCATCATTTGCCTTTTCTCCACACATTACACATCTGATGACTTGATACTTTAAACATTACGGAGGCACTTTCCCTCCTAGCTGCTTGCATATCCCTCCTCCTTCCTGTATAGCATCCCACTTATCATTTCCTGTCATAGGATGATTATACAAGCTATCATCCTCTTCCCCTGCCTTCTGCACTCCCTGCAATAAATAATGCTCATCTAAAAGCAAGCACCCTTCTTCCGGAGCATAGCATCTATGCTTATATGGGGGAACTGATAGCCGCATCACTCGCCCACCGTACTTTCTCCACGGAGGCTGAATCCGTAGCTTGCGTTTTACTTGCTCTATCCAGTGTTGCATACGCCTCACACATGCAGTGCTTGAATTCGCTTCATCACTGTTTCATGCCATCCGCCACCCCAGACTCATCCAGAAATTAGCCTCGATCAGATTCGACAGGGTCTCAACCTTACGAACGATTCAACCCCGCTGTATAGGACATGATAGTCAAGGACATTACAAGGACCTCTCTCTTCCGCCAAGGTATCTTATTCGTCATACCACACAGCCTGTTTCAACATCCCCCCCGTCTGTCGTTCTATAGCACGCTTTGCCCCTCGCCAAGGCATACTCGCAAAAGCCCCACTACGCAAGACACCACCATCCCACCACTTGGAGGAAATCATACACACCTCCAAGAACCTCGACAATTAGACCGACTGGTCGGACTCCATCAAGCTTAACTTCGCAAAGCATCCATCATCTCAACAATCAATTGTCCACCTCAGCGGCGACAAAGCCTTTTCAATGACCGCCGCCGTCCTCCAAATGCAAGGCAGGCCGATTGCCTCCATATCCAAGCCTCAGAGGCAAGGCAAGGCTCGAAAAGCTCAACTGGCAGCTATTGCACCTAGATATCAGTTGGTCTCCGATCCTGACGCCTTCGACAAGGAGGATCCCACAGTCAATGCGATTGTGAACGTGCCCAGGACTCGTCTGCCCCCAAGGTCAAGGTTCGGATGTTGGTAAGTCTTCCTTCTCCAAATCAGTCTCTGCTAGGCTCTCTGGCTGACATTGAAGATTCAGGACATGTCGAGTAATTACTTCCCCAGCAGGCCCGAAATACTACTTTTGATACTGACATGCTTGCAGACACGCAAGGTCAAGTCGGTCCCTCCTCTGACGCTGTCCTGCAACAGCAAGCGTTTACTAATCTTCTGCTCGTCTTTTCAGATGTGACGAGGCTAGACCTGAATGCACAGTAAGTCAGACATGCTGCCACATCCTTTGCAATAGATTTGTTGAAGTGCTAAACATAACACTCTGTTCTAGCCATGTTCTCGCCTAGGACATCCGTGTGACTACAATCCTCGACTTTCATTTAAGGATGACACGCCGAGAGTGGTCGAAAAGATGGCCCGTGTAGCAGGAACAGGAGGACCGGTTTGGGATCGTATGTTCTCCCTGTCCTGCTTCAGCCTGTTAGCTCAACCTTAGCAGCATCCCTACCCCGACCATTCAAGCGTCAACGCACGAGCCCACAACAGGAAGATCTGCTCCCTCCCTTCTCAGATTTGACCAACGACGAGGATCGAGAGAAGAAGGCTGAATTTAGAATCCCTGGGTCTTACCATCTCCTGGTGAACCCTTCGAGTTTTGCAGAATTTGACGAGTACAAAGACAACCGTCATGATCGGATCTCGCCGAAGAGCACACCAACAAAGGGACCAGGAAGCGAACTAAGCGACCAGTTCAGCAACGACCAGACGCAATATAATGACCCAAACGGTACCGATTTCAATGATAGTCAGACATCCGATGACCCAGACATCGTGATCTTGAGAGTCTTCGAAGACGATACACGCAAATTGGGGTCACCAACGAGTGCTGTCGTTCAAGGGCGATCATCGAGGACGCCGACTCTTTCGCTTCCGTCTTCTGCGGGATCTGCACATCGTGCCGACTACTTTAGATTCTCGTATGACAATACGCCGCTGATGAGGATGGCTCACAAAGATGGACGGGATCATCAATTGGTGTACTACTACAAGAGTTATGTGCATCGCCATCTAGCTCAGGTCCACCGAGATTCCTTAGGGACGTCTTTGGAGACTGGAGCTTTATCAGCGCCGGACGTGTTCGAACGACAGGCTGCTAGCTTTCTACCGGTACGTCAATGTTGAGCTGCTTCGTTGAAGGCATGGCTGGGGAATGCAGCTCTGGAAGAGAGGCCCATGAAGGCATTCGTCGGGCAGCTGGGCTGATCAGGTTCTTCCACAGCTTTACCATGCCCTGATGGCATTCTCTGCGTTGAGCATGTCCTACAAGAACGGTGTCCCCAACCTGGACGCTTTACAGCATTACCAGCAGGCGCTTCCATCCCTGCAATCCAGCCTGAGAACCGAGCAAGACCTGACTTCGGACGGCGTCTTTCTCACCCATTTTATTCTCCTCCTATACGAGGTAAGACCAGCAATGTCTCACGTTCCAATACCCTCCCTGAATTGACCCACTAACATTGCCGTCCAGATCGCAGCTGGCGAACCGAGGGGTCTCTCGCTGTGGTCTCAGCACATCGGCCAACTACTTCGCATCACGCTTCTCCGCCGCGAGATGTATGGCCACGAGCCTTACTCGTTCATCGTCTGGTGGGTTGCTAGCATAGATACCCACGTGGTCCTCTCGGGCATGGGCAACGGCGAATTCATTGAAACAATGCTCCGTAATAATATGCTACCATCCGGCATGGACCCCCAGAATCCCTACCACACCTATGACTATGCTTCTCCTCCGCGTGGGCTTGCTTCACCGAACGGTCATGAAGCCTTGCCTAGCGCTCTCGCCTTCCATCGCCGCATTAGCATTTTGGCAGCGGAGCTAGGGCTATTGGCGAGGGACATTCGGGCAGTGGAGAAGCAGAACCCCGATGATAGGAGTCATGCTGTTATGCAGAGCCGGCATGAGAGGATTGGCGTACTGCAAGACACGTTGAGAAGGACGTGGAATGTTCAAATGCCTGTGTCCGTGGCGAGCGGTTACTGCAACCAGGTCTTGCCGGTGGGGGCCAGAGGCATTTTTGAACATGTGAGTGACCGACCCTATTTTCCTTGCTTTTGAGAGCTAGCAGTGTTCGTCTACAAGCAGTTTCTGCTGATCCGTCCGGGGGCGATCTACGCCACTTGTTCGTTGGGGGCATGTCAGGTTCCCAGAAGCTCACAAATTTCTTCTCAAAATGAAAATATTTTTGCCTAGAAGCCGCTATAGGGATGGTTGCTAAAATAATTTATAGTCATTCGCGCTCTACCGCGCCTGCCTCATCTACTCTCACACCTCCATGTACAGCACACAACGTCTCCTATCGCCGTCATCACTCATCCACGAGGTCTCTCAATGTGGGGGGGAAATTCTCAGATTGGCCCGTGAAATTGTCGCCCACAATCATCTGGAGCGCAAGTTCATCGTCTTCCCACTGTTCATGTCCGGCTTCGTCTCCAAAAGCCAAGATGAGCGCATGGAGATCCTAGCGTTGGTGAAGAAGATGGAGGAGGATAGTGTGGGCAGGAATGTAGTGGCTGCAAGGCAGCTATTGGAGATTGTCTACGAGAGGCAGGAGAGGCGGAGAGACGAGCTGAGAAGGGAGGGCGTCGACGGGGGCAGGGAGGACGTGGATTGGGTGAGCATGATTAGGGAGCTGGGGTTGCAGGTTGTCAATTGTCGACTCTGAGAGTGAGAGGCCGAGAGCTTGGTGAGGAGCGTGAAGGCGGGGTTTCTTGCCGGACGTTCGGCCGCTGTCTGGGAGATGAGGGTCATGGCTGATGAGGAATTGCTCGAGAGATGGCTTCAGGCTTGCTGGTGTGACGGACGTTTCGGAAATACGAGAAGTGGTTCGAGGCTTGCTATGGTGACGAATCTTGTCGACATCATCAGGACGGTGAGGCCAGGCTATGAGGAGATTCTATTCGTGCTGACAGATTGATATTTGTCAAGGATCGAAATTGCAGGGGGATGGGTTTAGCACAATGGCATAGCGTGGCATGGGGGTGTATCACATATATGAACAGAATACGAGAAAGATGGTGAAGGAGGCAGGCATCTGCTGCATCTTTAGCGAAACCTGCGGCGAGTGATGTAACATTGACATTGTTATGATTATTATTGTTGTTGTGTTTGAATTGGTAAGAAAGAAGAATGATTGGTGGATTGGCTGATTGGTTGATTGGTTGGCACCCTGCCATCTGAGCTTGAAACGGGCAAGCCAGAGCGAGGAAAGAAGCCAACCCTATTTCGACGACATGAGACCGTACTTAAAGTAAAGTACTTTATTCGGCCACACCCGTTGCTTTTCACTTTTCACTTTTCACTTCCAAGAAGAAGGTTGAGGCTGCCGGCGGTTGTTTCATCTCACACACAAGCGCCTACTTTAGGTCTTCGGATACGAGAGGAGAGGAGAGGAGATGAGATGTGATGAGATGATGAGCATGAGATGGATAGATTACATACGGTGCCAAATTTTGGCTGATCATTATTACCATTGTTTGAAAGATGAGCATTCGTAACCATCTACCACCTACTCTACTCTGTAGCCCATTCCTCCACTCTGAGAACAGCGACAATTGAGCCGACGCCAGCAACATTCTTCTCCGTAGCCTCAACCATCTCAGATCAAACATCCTGCCCGGGGTCATGGATGGATATCCGAATCAACGCGGCCGTGTTGGGCATCACCCGCACAATTCTGCCGGGGCCGTCAACTGCAGGGTTTGGAGGGAGTAGTATCTCGCGGACCGGGAACCACCGGCTCAGATGAACTTCCCAGCCAGTGCCTCTCGCGTGCCTTTTTCCCGTCGGACAGCGGAAGAGATTGTTGTAGGATTTGCACGCCAGCAATACAACGTCTGCTTCGCGAACGCCTGATGAATTATCATTCTGTAGGACCGTGAGCAATCAGTTCTCTGAGGTGAAAGACGTCGCGGTTGATGCGTTTGGTAGACGCTTGGCGAGCCATGCAAGGGATACAATTGGCTTCAGGAGGGATCATGGTACCGGAATTTGATTATGATCGGAGAGGGAGGAGAGTGTGGCGGAAGGGGTCGCTATACCAAGGATCCCATTGGGATACAGCTTGGAGAGCACGGTGCGGTTACATGAGTTTGGGCACGTACTTACCGCACCTTAACGCTAACACCACGGTCAAAGTCGTTTCCTCATTGGACTGCTTGACTGACGTGACATCCAAGTTGCAGATGGGCGTGTTCTTTGCTTCTTTTTTCGCGTCTTGACTCTTGCGTGATTTTGCTAAGTCATCCCCAGCGCGTAAAATCAATGTCGATCAGAACCCGAAATCGCCGAGAGGCTTCAATGGCCACTGGTGACTGGACAACTCTTTGATAAATACAAAATCATTCCTCTTATTCCTTTTATTCCTTTTCGCCCCTGGTTGCCATGACCATGTCGCCTCACACTCTTTTGCTCTTTTTTTGAAGTTGAAGCCTGTCGACCAAGGTGTGTGCAGAGCAATGAAGCAAAGACTCCACGTGGTCGTCACCACAATTATACGCAGGAATGTTTATTATGGTGCTGCCCGCAACCTCAGCAGCTGTGGCCATCCGAAGCCTCTCTCCCACGCCTACTCCACCGCAGTGAAACCCCTTAAAACGTCCTCACTCGTCACCAAGTCAGCATGCGCAAGCGCTGCTATCCTGGCAGGTACAATAGCATTTTGCCTCATCAATGCCCCAATCGCTCATGCCGAAGTTCCTATTTCCCATACTCCGGGAAGGCGCAAGATACGGCTAGCGGAAGTACAGAAACACGGGCGCGATGCTGAGACAAAATGGGTCACTAGGGGCGCGCGGGTCTACGACATCACAGATTGGATTCCCGGTCACCCAGGTGGCGAAGTCATTCTGAGAGCCGTCGGCGGCCCCGTCGATCAATACTGGAGTATTTTCACGGTGCACATGAAGCAAGAGGTGTATGATATCCTTGAATCATACTACATTGGGGACATTGACCCCGGGGATCTGGTCGACGGGCAAGTGCCTGTCGAGGACCTTCATGATCCGTTTGAGAATGATCCCAGGCGGGATAAGAGGCTGCATGTTCACACTTCGCGCCCGTGTAATGCGGAAACGCCTACGGAGGGACTAGGTGCTTTTGTCACCCCGAACGACATTTTCTACGTGAGGAACCACATGTGGGTACCATCCACCTCGGAATCTGACCACAAGATCGTCGTTGAGCTGCCCAACGGCGAAGAGAAAGAGTACAGCCTCAAAGACTTGAAGGATAACTTCGAATCTACAACAGTCACAGCTACACTGCAGTGCTCAGGCAACCGCCGCAAAAACATGACCCAGGAATCTCGCTCCACCAAGGGCCTCCAATGGAACGTAGGCGGTATATCCACTTCTGAATGGACGGGCGTCCGCCTGCGCGACGTACTCGCTGATGCAGGCTTCCCTGTCGACGAGTACCCGGACGAGGTGCGCCATGCGCAATTCATGGGCGCCGAAGCGTACGGGGCCTCGATACCCATTGACAAAGCTGTAGATCGACGCGGCGATGTCCTGCTCGCGTACGAGATGAACGGGAAGCCGCTGCCGCCAGATCATGGCTATCCCCTCCGGGTTCTCGTACCGGGCACCGTCGCGGCACGTAGTGTGAAATGGGTCAATCGGATCGTTTTATCCGAGGACGAGTCTTCATCCGAGTGGCAGCAGAGAGATTACAAGTGCTTCGGGCCTAATGTAGGCGGCAACCCTGACTGGGGTACTGCGCCAGCTATCCAGGAGATGCCGGTGCAGAGCGCCATCACTTCCCTTCGCGACCTCTCTCCCCACTCACAAGCCGATCGCAAGTACTTACGACTGTATGGACTAGAGGAAGATTCGGTCGCCGTGGAGGGTTACAGTTTCTCTGGTGGAGGGAGGAGGATCGTCCGCGTAGATGTTAGTGCCGATAACGGACGGACTTGGCATCAGGCGGAGCTCCTGTCGGACAAGGGGAAAGGTGCAAAGGCTTGGGCGTGGACGAGATGGCGATGGGTCGTCCCGCGGCAGCAGGCCGGGAGATGTTTTGTCGTCAAGGCTGTCGACGAGGCGTACAACACCCAGCCAAATGATTACGACTCGAATTATAACTTCCGAGGCCACCTGACGAGTTCGTGGCATCGCGTTGGATATCGGCCTCCGGATGTCTAGGTAGCGGGCGTGTGGAACCGTTCCTGTTGCCTGCCTATGCGATGCGGAAGATACCATTTAGCGTCGTTCCAATCCTGTGGATTTCCAGTCACTAGGCCATTCGTCTCTACTTTAACAACCGTTTCACCCATCACCGTACCGCTATGCAACGTGAACCTCGACACGGGTTCGAAGTGCTCACCAGATCCTGACGAAGACCCTTTATCCTTGACCTTTCCAGCCCACACCAACAACAATCCGGGCCCTCCCTCCATCCCCCGTCTCCCTTCGTTCCCCACAAACCAGTCCGGGGAGTCGCCGGCCGGCAATATCAACCGGAGGCTGGACTCGATCGCCGCCACGAGGGCAAGCGAGCGAGCGTGGCGGAAACGATCTCATTCGACGACCGGCGAAAATGAAAGAAAAAGTGGTCATGAGCTCGGGACACTTGATCTCTTCGACCGGTTCAGGGAGATTTGGTAGCATATAACACGAGTGACCGATGAGCCTAAGGGGATGATGGATCGATGGTGGGGAAAGTCGCGCGAGAAGAATGACATCTGCGTATAGAAAGGTCATGAAGGCAGTCCGGGCCGTCGTGGACGAGTGGCGGACCCCCCCGTCTTCGGATCGTTACTGGCCGACTTACCGACCTGCCTACCGACTCGGTGAGAAGCAGGCTGTGGCGTTCTGGGGTCGGGTCGATGCGATGCGATGGCGATCTGGCCGGTGAGCGTAACCCTGATGAGTAATGATGAGGCTGGAGAAGAGGAGCGTGGGAGCGGTGGGTGGTGGAGAAGGTAGATGGGGTACTTGCGTGCCTGTGGATCTGGGGAAAGTGGCAGGCTGGGGCTTTTTTCTTTGGGGGGGGGGGAGGGAATGCGGTGGTGGATAAGGTAGCTAGCTATTGTTGGAGACTGGGATTAGGTACAGTAATCGTAGGTACTTTGGGGAAAGGGAAAAGGGATGTGGAAGAGGATTTTGAAGCTTTGATGGCCACAAACATCAGGAGCGTTGTCAGTGGCGGTGACGAATCCAGTCAAAGCCGCTGATGCTATTACCTTAGCTATCGCTTTTGATATCATAGTCGTCGTGGAAACCGGGCTGCCACCGCTCGTGACTTCAGTCAAGCCCCATTTCGAACCCATCCCTCGGATTCCTGCCTCCACCCATCCCTCGACCCGTTCCGCCACTCCCGCCGCCGCCCCCGCCGTTCATCCTACCCTCCAACTCCTTCAACTCTCTCTCCCGCTCCCCCAACATCTTTATCCGCTCCTGTCTCACAACGGCGAGGACCCCTTCCAGACTCGTCCTCCACGTATCCAACCGCCCTTGCACCTCGGTCCATTGCTTCTCCCCAAACACGCGATACGTGCTCCGATGTATGAGGAAGGTTTGGTTGAGCTGGGATAGCTTGCCCTCCACGAGCCCTGCGCGGATCACATCGATCACCCACATCTCTACATCCTCACTGGGGATCTGTAGGGCGCGGGCTATATGCTGATATGGCAGACTCCGACTTTGTGTGCTCGCGGCCAGCGAGGCGAGCGTGAGCAGGCGCATTTTCCGATGCAGAACCGCCGCATCAAGGGACGCATCGGACAAGAAGTCGTCGTGGGATTCGAGGAAGTCGTTGTAGTCGTCCAGCAGCTCGGCGTTGAATATTTCAAGCAGTTCATACCATTCTGGTTCCGACTTGCGGAGCGCTTGGATAGGGTCGCTGGAGGTGAGGTCTTGGAAGTCGAAGTGCGAGGGATGGGACAGAGCGGCCTTGAGCGCACGGATCGCGAGGTTGTGGGAGTCTGGCGAGGAGACCTCGTCGGCGGGGATGGCGCGTAGGGTTCGGAGTAGATAGAGATATGACTGTGCATCTTCGCCCGCCTCCGCGGCGACGTTTGCGATTTCGAGATACAATTTGCGTTGGTCTTCTTCGTCAGTCTCCCACGCTGCGATCCAGCTGTCTAGGTTCTTGAGTTGCGGACGGAGGAGTTCGAAGGAGGAAGAGCTGCGTACGACGCGCAGGACTGCGAGGAAGACGTGGTAGCGGGTGTCATTCGTTGGGGGGAGGATGTTGAAGATCGTAGTCAGGATGGAAAGGGCGAGGCCGGGGCCATTGTTTGGGGAGGACTTTACGGGGGCGGAAAGGTTCTGGCAGATTTTGGGGAGGAATTTGTCGAGGTTCGGTGACTGGCGAACTAGGTGGATGAGGAGGTTGTAGGCTGCTATGAATTCTGTATCCTGATCTTTAGCACATGCCCTGAAAAGAATTGTGCAGACAGGCAGCCCACCCTTCTCCGGAGCGGTATTCAGCACATCGCTGGCAGTGACGAGCTTTTTGAGCACTTCATCCTTCTGCCCCTTCTCCAACAGAGGCGTGATTTCTGCTTGAATGTTGGCGTTGTCCGGAGTTTGTTTCTTTTGGACCTCATCGACGTAATGTGCGAGCTCATCGGCAAGCTCCTCAAAGGAACCTTCGATCAGCAGAGTATTCGTGGGGCCAGGCATATTGATGGCCGTAACAAAGTCGTAGTCGTGGATTTTGTGCGGGCAAATTCACAAAATCTTGGCGTTTCCCGTGGCGCTAGCGAGTTGTACGAGTAACATGAGCTGTCGACTCACAGTCGGCCACCATGAGGCCCAAATACTTCATGTATCTCCGTCTACTAGAAGCAAAACACTTGAACATCTGTTGTCTGTCTTCCAAATTTGAGCTTACTTATATTACAAGTGATTGATACAGTGAAGCGACCTCTTCCACTCCTTCTCCAATGACCGCCCTTACCATGTATGAGAAGCCCGAATCTCCTTTCTCTCCACTCGTATCTCAATTTAGTCTAGCACTCGCCCAGCAGTACTAGCTGTACTCCTATCCTTGGTTTGAACCTTCTTTAACCCTGTTCCCTTCTGAATGTCGCCCAGTAAGCCTCCTATACTCGGCTTTCCACCTGGCGGACCACTCGATATTCCAGGGGGTGGTGGCGGAGGCGCTGGTGGTGCACCTGTCATTCCAGGCGGTGGTGGTGGAGGCGGAGGTGCAGGCGGAGCGCCTGACGTCGGCATAGGCGGTGGTGGGGGTGGGGGTGCAGCTGGAGGTTCTCCGTCATCGAAACTTCCCGGCATGGGTGGGGGTGGCGGTGGAGACATGGCCGTAGCTGTACTCGGTGTTGGAGGTGTTGGGCTAGTTGGGCTTTCCATAGTCTTTTTATCATCCATAGCTGATAAGGGCCTGGGGGGTGCCATTGTGCCGAACAGCATGGAAGCGAGTTGTTTCGCGCTACCTCCTGTTGGTTTATTGGTATCCTCTTCGTCATCTGAGGACGAGGTAGAATCAACAACGGACCATTCATCTTCTTCCGGACGAACTCGTGACGGACGGTTGCCGGTTGGGGTAGAAGTGAGAGGTGGAGGAAGCGTTTGAGACTTTGCGGATTCCTGCTGTTGAGTCAAACGATGGAAAGGATTTGTGGATTCGGCAGCAGTGTTTGGTGAGGCAATGGATGGCGGCGTAGCGGCCGTTTCATTAGCTTGATTCATCTTTTTGAAGAATGGGTTCTTGGTATCTGCACCGTATGAAGATGATGACGACGGTGCTGGTGCTGGCGGTGGAGAAAGAGCTGGTGCCGCAGGAGGACTTTGGACGGGCGCTGGAGGTGGACTCATTGAAGCTTCAGCCTTGGCCGCAGGCGCAAATGGCGGTGATGAGCGACTAGACGCCTGGACACTACCTTCTCTTGAGAGCACCTGACTGTTCAATGGCGTAGTCTCTTGTGGCGTAATCGCTTGAGGTCCATCCTCGTCAGACGAATCTTCGTCGCCTAGGCTCTCCAATTGCAACTGTAGCTGCCGTTCCCGTTCCTTTGCAGCTTCCAGCTCTGCTCGCTGAGCTGCAAGCTTAGCTTCCTTCTCCTTTGCTTCTCTCTCCGCGGCTTGCTTCCTGCGTTTCTCCTCCTGCTTCTTAACTTTACCTTGCTTGACCTGCTCTTCTAGCGCTTTAAGACGAGCCTGCGAAGCTTCACGCTCTTGGGCCAGGTCATGTTCCTGTCGTTGAGCTTCGTTTCTGTACGCTTTATTAGCTTCTGCGTCGGTATCTTCACCCTTCATCGTGACTTACTCCATGCCCCTGGTCTCTGACTGTTGGACCCGCTGCTGATCTTTGATCGCTTGCTCCTTTCCTTGCTGCTCGGCTTCGGCCCTGAGGGCATCATCGTCTTGTTGCCGTTTGACTTCCTCACGCTGCGCGGCACTGTCTGCTCTACGGTTTCGCGTTGGTGGAGGAGGTGGCTTTTTGGAGGACTTGCTAATTTCTGGAGCAGACGGTTGCTCATCGGCAAGCCTACGTTGCCTCTCTTCTTCTCGCTTGGTATCCTCTGCCTCAGCTTGACGGACTCGTTCTTGACGTTCCTTGGCTTCGCGTTCTTGTCTCTGCTGGGCAGATTCACCAGACTTAGTTGGTGGTTTTAAGCCAAGAGCTGCAAGACGTTCGGCCATACGCTGCTCTGCCTGCTGCTTTATGAATGCGGCTCGATCTTCGCCGGTCTTGTAGGATGAGTAAGAGCCTGCAGAAGCAGAAGCAGCTGCTGGTCTTGAAGTTTCCCGAGACTCGGGTTTCCTCTCATGGCTGGTCGGTGTAAGGTCACGCGAGCTATCTTTGCGAGAGGGACCTCGGCCATTTTCATCGGAACGACTACTACCAGTACTAGAGGTTATCAGCAGAAGCCCAGCATCGTGCTAGGAAGAAGGACCCACTCTTCACTTCGTACTTTGGCACTACGACTACTCCTCTGCAAATCAAAGATGAAGTCTCTCACTTCATCCTCGACACCCAGGCCGTCCTCCCACCTCCGTCTTTCGTGCTCACTGCTCGCATCCTCACCATCCTGCATCAGAGTATCCTCAAGACCACGAGAAAAGTCTCGTACGCTGTCTTCCACATCTTTGATCATACTTTCATTATTCTCCCGTTCACTCTTAGCTTTTGAATTCTCCTCCTCCAACCGTCCTGCAGCGGCACCGCTGTCATCTCCGCCGGCGGGAGCACCTTTACCTGTCAGAGCCGCAGAGCGTTGCTGCATCATTGCTTTCGCGCGCGCCTTGAGTCTATCTGCCTCTGTGACAGCCCCGCCGGGTCCAGTACCAATGATCGTGGAGGCGCTGCTGGGGTGGGCTTTTGCATCTTTCATACGGAATAATTCAATCTTGGCATCAGAAATGCTACGTTCTGTCTTTCTGACTTGGGACGCTAGTTCTGGGAGGCGGTCTGTCAATCTCTGCAATTGGCGTTTCAAGGTCCTTCGTTCCGCGCTAGAATCAATGCTTCGCAGCGTTGCTTTGGGATGGCTATCGATGTCCTCTTGAATCCGCCGTATGCGTCGATAAAGGTCCTCGGCCTCTCGACGATCCCTTCGATCAAGAGCATCGTCTTCTTCCGCAGCGTTCTCATCCTTGAAGTCAATTGCGTCCAGCAATACCTGCTTTTCTCGGATCTTCTTACGCAGCTGTTCGATCGACAGATCATCACTTGATCTTTCGGAAGATGGTGATGTTGATTGAGCGGGTGAAGGAGTACGTCCATCACCACCAACCCTGCGGCGCGCACTCGATCTGTACCCGATATCATCGTCGTTGTTTCGAAAGATGGTTGCATCCTTTCGTCCTGGCGTGATGCCGTTCGAATCGTTCCGGAATGAATGGTTCTTCAGATAGCTAACACCCGTTTTCTGCGGTTGAAGGAAGGAACCCGTACTTTTCCTGGTTTCGGCATCTTGTGAAAGTAGCGACTTGACAGTATCTATAGAATTCGTGAAGTTCCTTGTCGATGGAGGGACAAGCTCTGGTGGCAGCTGATTAGGCACGGGGTAGCCATTCAGCTTCCTGTAAATTAAATGCATAGCGACAGCGAACTCATCCATATCTAATCTTCCTTTATTACTAGGATCGGACAGAGTCCAAACCTTTTCGAGGTCGGCTTTAGGCAGTCCGCTTTGGCCCATGACCTCAATGGCAACATCACCACCAATGAAGCCTTTGTTGAATCCATCCCAGGCCTTGAATAGCTGATCGTAGATCTTCTTCTCATCCTTGGTAACAGCCCACGGAACCGTAGCGCTTCCCGACAGTCCAGCCGTTGTATATCCTCCTTCACGGCCTGCTTGGGGCATCATACGCTGTTGTAGAGCATCAATATTTGGCAATCCTGAAGCCGGAGCGTTCACAAGCCCCCACTGCCCAGGGCGTCCCGTAGGCTGAGCATTAAGAGGCATTGACGGTTGGTTGCCAGTCTGCGCTGGAGAGAGGTTCGAGCCATAACCCGTCGGCATTGGCGGCATGGGAGGCCTGGGACCCTGGTAACCCGTAGCTTGTGCGTTTTGCTGGTACCCTGTCTGCTGTTGCTGAAAGCTAGTCGGCTGTGGTGTGAAGCCGGTTTGCTGATTTCCAAAGCCCGTTGGTTGAGGTGGGATGTACTGCGCTGCGAAACCTGTTGGTTGAGATGCAATCTGCGACAGCAGCTGGCTGTTCGAAGCCTGAGGCTGAGGCTGCTGAATTACGGAGGCGGAGCTTGCTGAGGTTGGAGCATTGAAATTGGGCGCATTGCTTCGAGGAGGCGCCACAGGACGATCGTCAGGCACGCCGAATGAAATGATATCCACCATACTAGAGACTTCGTTCATGATCTTTTCCGGCAAACTTTGCGGTAATTCTTTTCCCACAAGCTTCAAATTGCAAAGGTACATGGCTAGAGCGAACTCCGGAAAGAGGAGCTGACCCGACTTCGTTGTATCCGAGAGAGTCCTAGAAATTGTCAATTGTCGGACACCAGGATCTCATGCATGTCGTACCATATCTTCATAAGATCAGTTCCGGGAAGTTTCGATCGGATCAGCAAGTCTTTGACCTTCTCGCCTATGTTTTTTTAGTTGTAGCAGCGACCTCTTCCTTGGCTGCTTACCATCTAAAGCTTGTCCATCACCTACTGCCGACTTGAATAGCTGCTCAAACTTCGCCTGATCCGTGGCGGTCAAATATGATAGCCGAATCTTGGGTATTTTTGTGCTTGATGCGGTAACTCGGGGCGCTGAAGGTTGCGATGCAGGCGTTGAGGAGAAAGACTGGGCTATTTGGGAGGAGGTTTGACCTGTCTTCTGCGGAGTAAATTGCTGCTGAGGAGGCTGTCCCGTCTGAAAAGACTGTTGTTGAGGAAGCTGGTTCTGGGAAGGCTGTTGGTTTTGCGTAGGGTATCCGGTGTACTGTGGCTGTTGTTGCGAAGCTTGGAAGCTTTGCTGCTGTCCCGGACCTGGGTAGCTTGTATGTTGAGGTTGGAGCTGAGCTGCACCAAAGCCAGTAGGCTGAGGCGCATTGTAGCCAAGCTGTTGAGTGCTGTTTGGTTGCTGCTGGCCTTGCTGGGGGTAAGACTGTCCATACTGGGGAGGGGCTGGACGGGCGCTGTTGCCCCCTCCCAGGTAGGAACTTGATGCTGAATACATGAATTATCGGTACAGACAAAGGAA